ACAGTTCTGGAACTGCCCCACCCATCCCCTATTTTGGACCCTTATTTGCTCATTGCATGCCCAAAAGACAAATGGTGTGATTCAATTGCTAGGCCATTCTTTGTTTTCTGTAGTTTGAGATTCATTTGAGAAGTAAATACAAATGTGTCGAAACCTGCTGAATAAAAGGTAAACACCTTGTAAACATCCTATCTCACAGCATGCAGTGACACATAGAACACATATTTTTGTTCATCTGTCTGAAAGTGAGGTATGGCTTTGTTAATAAGATACTTCATCCAGTGTTGTCTTAGGGATATGAGAATCTGGCAACATGTCGCACTTTTAACTTGCGTCATTGCTGCTGTCTCTTTTGTGAACTGTTTGATAAGTATCCTTTGTAGCTGTAGCACAATATGTTGATTTGGCTTCCAGAATCTGATTTAATATAGGCTGCCTTGCAAATTTTCTCTCGCCTAATTTTGATTCCACAGATTGAGGAAATACTCAAATATGGCAATTAAGACTTTTTTTTCTAAAATGTCAAAATTATTATGCTGTCAATGCTACCTATTTCTTTTTACTTGTGGAATTTCAATGTTTCAGTAATAGCGTTGCCAGAGAAACAAACAAAATCCCCTTGATCTACCTTCACTTTAGAACATTAATGAAAATTATGACATCGGTTGGGGCGGGGGAAGGTGTGAGTGGAATAGCCTCAAGATTTCTGGGGTTTTTGTGCCATTGTAATCAACATCATCAATATTGTGAAGTCTGATTAAGGGTGCAAAAATCACAGGAAATTCTGGCATATGTTATTTTAACCCACTAGTTATGCTATCTCATTATTTCTTGAGTTTTGTTTGGGCACTCTGCCTCTTCCTTCACCGAAATAATTTAATAGCTAATTATCATAGTCCCATTTAAAATAAATAGTGAATAAGATGGTGAATTAAAGTAACTGACTAAGATCATCACAGCCACTTGGTGACTGTAGTAAAATGGTGCTGGATTAATAGGGATTAAAGCAGGTCCACATTCATAAGAGGCTGTATTGCTCCTTTAAAACAGGGTCTTGATCAGTGTAATGCAAGCCCACATCCCTGAAGATTTGACATGCTGCAAATCCTCACACTCATTTCCCTCTGCTGAATACTTTTGGTTCAATAATTAGACTGCTTCTCTTGATCAATGTGGAATCATTAATTTGGGATAAAAAGTTTCTTTTTACATTACTGTGAACTAACTTTCTAATATCAGTTAGAGATGATGTACAGCAGGCTTCTTAAAATCTACAGGTCCCAGCCATAGCCTTATGATACACTGAACATTCCAGAAAAGATGTTTTTGTGGCAATATTTATTTGATATTTAATTCTGTTCTTTTTTTTTGTCCTTGAACTAAATGTTAATTAGCCTTGCCAGCACAAATTTGACCTTTGGAGATTCAGTCACAAAACATTTGCAGCAGTCTTCAACATATTATTTTGTTTGCTTAATGCAATTGCTTACTTAGACTTAAAAGTTGCAAGGAGACTGAAATAACTCCAGAGACTGGTATCCGATCACCAAGTCACCCTTTATTTAAACGTGGAAAGTCCTTGACACTGGTCCAGCTTCCTCAAAACCAACTCTCAATGAACAGAACCTCTGACACTCCTGACATCTGACAGCCAGGGCTCCCTGATTAGGGCTGTTAATCTGGTCCAATCAGGGAATTAATATTCTGTGAGGTCCACCTGGCTGACCTTGTTACAATTACTACAGAGACCTGGTAGTAATTAGTGTTTTAATGGTTGCAAATCCACCAGTTGGTCTTGGTAGACTGGCCACTGACCATTCACAATATAACTGTGGCATGGTAACAATCCAGTCTGCCACAGTATCTTCACGATAATGATCATTAGTAGCTGTTTAGTATTTACAATGCATTTTCATGGTGGTATGTTTTAAATATACATAGATTATGCTGTTGTCAGGACAGGGCTTTTACTTACCACTGTTAGATAATGACAAGCACAAAGATCAAGGAGGAAAAAGTGTAGATTCCTGGGACTTGTCTAAATAAAATCTGGTAGTTTGATAGTCTGAGATAACAAGGTGTAGAGCTGGATGAACACAGCAGGCCAAGCAGCATCAGAGGAGCAGGAAAGCTGACGTTTCGGGTCTAGACCCTTCTTCAGAAATGGGGGT